GACCCATCTGAGCCTCAGGTTCCAGGTCCATGAAATGGGGCGAATCCCTTCTCTACGGGGCTATGGAGAGGCTAAAGAGCCAGGCTGTCTAGAAAACACCTCAAACCCTGGAAAGTTCTGCTTTATCCAAGGACAGGGCCTGACCTACAGTGCACCAGAGTCTAGGCTCTCTCATCCTCATCGGGCCCCCACCCCTCTGAGTCCCAGTCACCCCAGATTCCTTCAATTCCCTAAACCCGCTGAGCCTGTTGCTGCCTCAGGGCCTTTGCACTAGCTGTTCCCTCTGCTTGGAACGCTCTTCCCCTGTCCTATGGCTGGCTCTTGCTTTCCATTCCGATCTGGGCTTGGCCGTCACCTGCTTAGAAAGGCCTTCCCAGGTGGCCCGAGCTCAACACGACCCACACGCACACGTTGTTGTGACTGAATTCCGGGCAGAGCGCTCCCCACTGCTGCTGGCTTCCTTAGTCCCCTCGTTTCTTCTCTGTCCCCTCTGCCCAGCTACAAAACCAGCACTGGGAGCAGGAGCAGGGGACGGCCTGCTCACGGCTGTGTCCGATGGTCAGAGCCCGGGTGCGAGGACACTGGGCCAGGCTGAGCAGGGACACACGATCGGAGGGGCTACACACTTAGGGAGCAGGGCCCACCGAGCTAAGAGCTGGGGCAACGTCAGCGTCACTGACACCAGGGGCTGAGTGTGTCTACACTGGCAGCATGGCCCTTGGGACGGATGTGGCTGCCTCCCGGGGACACCCAGCCTCGTGCGAGGGGCAGCAGGGGAGCAGTGGCCACAGCGAGCTCTGCGGGTGAACGTCACAGCATCCATTTCAAAGTTCCACCTTGAAATGGAAGGTTTCTAGACCCTCCCTCCCCTCTGAGTTTCCATCCTGCTTATCACCTGCTGGGAAAGATCTGCGTGTCTGTCTCTCCCACCCGATGGCAGCTCCCCCAGGGCCGGGACCAGGACCGCCGGACTCACCTCTGCTCCCCAGCACTGTCCAGCACGGGGCCGGGCACACAGCGCATGCTGTGTGAATTGGGGTCTGGGGCTGTGACGGTGGAGAACTTGGGGTGATGGGCGTTCACTGGGAAGTGGCCAGGAGATGCCCCCAGACTATGCTGGGGGTGCTCTGGGCTGGGAGCTTGGACTTTGGGTTCCTACACACTGACGTCAGGCTGGGGGGCTCGTCTCCTCCTCGCTGTGTGACCCTGTGATCCTGGGCACCTTCCTTGCTCGAAGCTGTTTCTGCAGGGGGTTCACCAAGCCCCCTCACCGGTGGTGGGAGAGGGTGGGGAGAAGATACCCAACCTAGCGCCCACCCTGTGGGTGGTCAGAGACACGTCCCGTATCATTACAGCTGTTCTGGGAATGGCTTCCACAACAATGAACCGTCGCTGGAGTTTTCAAATCCCTGGCACCCCCCAAGACACAGCAGGGCTGGGCCCCATGCTTGCCGACTCCCTGGTTCACAGCTGCCAGCTACAGTAAAAACCTGGAGCCCAGGGTGCTGCTGAGGACCCCCGCCCCATGGCGACACGTGCCCATCGGAGAACTTGGAGGGACCTGATAAAAACCAACCAACCAAACGAACAAAAAGAACATCCAAATCACACATGTGCACGCACACACACACACACACACACACACACACTCGTATGTTCAATACTCTAACACGCATAGGCCCACGAGCCACTACTGGAGGGAACAGAGGCGAGGGAACCACGGACACGATGCGCAGGCCTAGATCCTTCCGGCCTGAATTGGCCAGAGCAGCTCTGTGCTGGTCACCTTGCGTCCACAATGGCGTCACCTCTCAGAAGCCACCAGCCCAAAATGGGACTATTGCTTGCGGACGGGTGGCTCAGAACCCCCTCCCCTGCACCCCCGGGCCCCCGCCCC